CGAACAGGTAAACAAAACGATCTTTTTATTAACTTACGATTTCGCTGGGCCGTCCAAAGCAACAAAAATCGACTGAGAGAGTAGGGGATTCCTAGGTGGACACCTTCACACCTTTCCAAGCTGGTTAATAGCACTTTCACACTCGCGTCGCGTGTATTACTTCTCTCTACGTACTTCGACGTCCGGTCCCCGCGCGCGCCAGAGTCGTAATGAGCTTCGCTACTCTGTTCGCAAGAACCGCCCGTTGCTATCCACAATTCCAAACTTCCACGAAGCGAAGACCTTGTCGAACAAAACAAAAAGTCACGAATGTTTACTGGTCACGTACATTTCTTACAGTTCGTCGATTTATTCAACGTGTACATAATACGTTTGGAGCAAATAATTATAGATTCTATTTTCTTCCCCCTATATACCTTGTAGAATTATTTAATTATATATTTCACAAAATAATTTACTGCTTCGGTCCACCTACGACATCGAATTTCATTGTTAAAATATGAACATATATTGTGAAATGATATTTGAAAACGATGTTAAATATTGTAATTTGTTGTGTATTGTTTCTAATTTTGTTGCTTAGTAGACCTCACATTTATTCATATTCCCGAACCATAAATCGTTGAACTTGCATTCCTTTGGACAGAACTATTTCTAACAAAGGGAAATCGCTAACACAAAAATTCCGAAAATTTTGAAATATTGTATGCAAGTAGAGTAGTTTACCCGTAACATAAAACCATTCTTCGCTCATGCGGAATTTCGTTTAAAGGGAATGAAATCACGCCTTGTCGTAGAAAAAGATCGAAAACGAAATTTACAGCAAAATTAAATCCACGTTTATATCTATAAAACAGCAAGGAAAAAATTACTGAAAAATCCATGTTTGACTTTTTCGATTATTATCACTATGCAGTTTTGTAGATATTCTACGACAAAGGAAGGGGTGAATTCATTCTCCAAACTGAATTTCTGCACGAAGGAAATATGATTTTGTATTGCAAATCAACTGCACATTTGTTCACGATGTTCCCTCGTAAAATATTCAACTTCCAAAGCGCCGAAAAGATGGGCAAAATTTTATTCGAACCACGGATAACCAATAAGATCAACTCGAATAAATTTATTCGTTTATTCGTTAATTTATTACTATAACATATATCGACGATAACACTTCACCAAAGTAGCTCAACGCCCTTCAAATTCTCCAATCCTAATCTTCGAAGTACTGAAAGTTTAAAACTCTTTCTTTCTGGTTACCCGTACAGAACGCAGTTCAATATTCAAAAGCTTAATTCCCGGCAAACGTACGGAATACTGTTTTTATCTAACTATTCACGCGGCTCTTGTAAATTTATAAACTCCTACTTAAGATGCTTTCAGTAACATCAATAATACATGATTCATTACTTCTTCAGTCGGCACTTTCGTCGAGGAATTATGTCTACCGAATCGACACGAACGTTTTCGTAAAAAATAAAAGAGGGGGATGCAACGAATGAAAAACTAAAGACACGATAGTTTCCTGAAAGCTTGGGCGGGCTCTGTAATCCCGAACTGGCTGCAAAACTACTTTGCGTTCCTCCATAACTTGTAAGTTACGATTGAAGGTGAAAACTCCTCGTTGTGAACTTACAAGGTAGAGATCGTTTACTAAGTTTTTCACCTTCTGTCTATTGACAGTCCACACTCGTTTTGCTGAGAGAGTTTAAAAATCTCAACGAAACCAATACCAGGATTGATTTACACTTTACTTTCTGCAGAAAATTTTAACTAATTCAATCGTCGACTCACGATGAAATTACACTGCACTATAATTATATTACGAATTATATCTTCTCACTTCTACGGTATTTCTAACATGTTTATTTCTATAAAAGCATTAAGGCAAACTACCCAACAATCGTATTGTGTGCAAAAGAAATAACGTCAATTCAAACTTAATTACGTAGAATAATTAAGAATTAAATAGTTACACGATCGAGGATTGCAAGGAGTTTCAAAGAATAATGAATAATCCTTGCAAACTTCTTGATAAAATTCTACTTCGAAGAAAGGAGCAATTACTTCTTACAATTATCACGTCTCAAATTGATCGATACCAATCACGAACGAAGTTTCATTTAATATGAAAGTTTTCAATGGCGTCTCGCTCGAGCCGATTAAAGAGCTTGCTAGAATTCAATACATTATGAAATTGATATCGAAAAGAAGGTTTCCGTGAAAAGTATCTGTCACAATCGTCGGGAAAGTGCTCGCAGTTTTTCGCCGTAACTTTTAAGGCAAGTTGTTGAAGTCGGAATACTTCGCGTTCGTTCTTCGTGCCTTTTACATTAATATTTTTTTTTGCGAGCGTGGCAGAAGAATGGCCAACTTAGGAAACAAATGAAACGAAAATTTAAGATACAAGCAAAGTTTGAGAACGAACCAACGAAGGACGCAGAAACATAGAACCCGTAAAAATAATTAACAACCGTCCACTCAACATACGTTAGCGAATCAATCCTGCGGCAGTAATTTGTGTTTTTCTGTTCTAGTAACGTTCATTTTTCTGTTCGTGCGACTTCCCCTTATTGGAGCGATAAATTTCAAGCTTCCTGGCGTTGAATTAACACGTTTAAGAAACAAGGCAATCAATATCCTTCAGTTACCTTTTAATGAGCCTGTCTACACGCATTTCAATACTCATTATCTACACGAAAGAAATTTCTGCGATAAATCTGACATAGCAAAAATCACGTTCATACACCATTTGCATGCCTAACAGCGACTTTAAGAATTATTAATTAAAATTATTTAGGAAAAGAAAACAATATTTCGAAAGATGCTTGTGTATTATTTAAAAATGATAAGAAATTACACGGTGCATTCGTGAAGAGGACAAACGTCAGGAACAGAAGAGTGTTATTATCATTTTCAAATCGTCATGAGCAATGCGTGCGCGAGGTACATCGATGCAAATGACATCGACAATGGGAAACATAAAATCGTTCTCGTTGTCGCGACTTGCACGCATTACCATAAAGAGACCAGCGTACGTCTATTTTGATCCCCCACAATTAATTTCATTCTCGTTGACTTTAAATCGTAACCCTGAATCGACGTCGTTGATTAATGACTTTGTCCAGAGAATTCGTTCCACGGTACGCGATTCGTAGCACAAAATTTTGGCTCTATTTCCATATTGTTAACGCGTTCGAGTTGTCCCGGGGTTGTATCGTGAATCACCTCACGCCTGCTGTTAAATTTTATCACGTCGATCGTTTTTTAGTTCTATATTAATTACTCCGTTTCTCACGTGTATTTCACATTTACGAAAATATTCTAGCCCTAAATTTTCTATATCAAAATATATTGTTATTTCAAAAACAAGACACTTTACCATCGTTAAGTACCAACGTCTTGTTTAGAAAAACATTTTTTTTACTAGAATTAAAATTTATTTGAATATTACGTGATTTTTAAAATATGAATACCTGAATAAAGTGTACAGTAATTTTGTTGGAACAATCTCAATCTATTCGTAAAAAATATTATATTGAGCAACGATTTACGGAATATTCACAGATTTTCAGTACCTACTGCAGTTTGTTGGTTTACATGCTATATGAGTGTCTCGATATTATTAGATACCTCTAGGTGCCAGTGTCCTATTTATAAAACATATCTAACTTTAAAAGGGCTACATTTTCACGAAACATTTCCTATTCAATATTCTCGAATAAAAGAAACATATAGAAAGTGAACACTAATTTTAGTGAAGCGATGCCTAATTTCTGATGAGTCTGTATAATTTGCAACTGTTGCAAATATTCTGCATCCCGAAATAAACACGAATTGGAGCCAATCCTAAGAGAAACTTTCAACGATAGTCGTAAAATTCATCAGTTAATACTATTCTCAAGAAATACAATGTTCCTCGATAGTATTAAATAAATTTCACTTTCATCCTCGTCTGAAATATTAATCCATCGACGTTGATAAACACCCAGGTAGTTATAAAAAAAAAACAGAAGAAATAACATGATACTTAATTGGCTCGTATTACGTGGAAACGAAATAACGAATCGTTATGCAATTGTTACGAACTCTTTCGTCCGTCGCGCGAAAACCGTGTTAAGAATCAGTAACGGCAACCCTTTGCTAAATATATTCAAGTGTGTCGGGAGAATGTAAATTGCACGAAAAAATTTATTGCCGTTGCGAGATCAGTTAACAACGTTCCGGAAGTCGCACAATCGCCACGAAAATGTGCTCTGTTTTGCACGATTAATATACAGGCCGCGTACTAATTTAAATATCATTTGCACGAGACGCAAATGCTTGCGGTCATTAGCGTCGAAAGAATTTAATTACAATTGTTCGAAACCACCAACACGCCGCGAAGTTGTGTGAAAATTAATCCGGGAACGCTTGTCCCCGTAAAACCGTCACACGCTGGCTTTACCCCAGATTTTTACCGAACCTGGTAATGCAATTCTTAAGATTTCAACGGGACTGCCGTACCAAGAGTCTATTATTTTAATTGTGCATCGTCCCGGGACCGATATCCCGGGAACCGTGAGCTGTTACGCGCCTAAATGATAAATGGAATCGACGTATTTAAGAGTATCGAGCGTTTCGATTCGAGGACGATCGCGAACGTCTTAATATTTTCCATTACGGGCGCGGATAATTAAAAGGCGAAAAGAACAAACGCTAAAGTTACGCTTGGACGCCAGAACCGCGGTGAACAAAGATAAAAGTAATTTGGCCAGTTAATTCCGCGGGTGGCCAAAATTCTCTGAAAAGTCCATTAAAAGATTTGAACTTTACGTTATCATTACGAAACGAAATTATTTCTCGACTATTTAAGTATCGATTTAAAATTGGAATAAATAAATAAATTTTGAGAACTTGCGCAACAGAGGACGCGCGTGCACGTGAAAAATGTTAATGTTAATTTCGTGAAATTGCGACATCGCCACGGTCATCGCGCGTCTAGTTTTGAGAATACTCACCGAACAATGGTAGCTGCTGGACAAATATCGAGTCGAGTATCAAAGCCGGTGATCCATCCAGCGGCGCGCACAGAACTCGTTCGAGATTCAAGAGGGCGAAAGAGGAAGGGAAATCGGGAAGAGGTCCGCGAGCACGCTCGAGTTTTCTGTTTTCCCCTTCGGTTCTCTTCTTTTCCTGGTCGGTGCCGCTCGCTCGCGAGCGCGGTGCCAAGTCAGCGGTTGGCACACACAGGTGTGAAAAAAAGGGCGAAACAGAGGGAAAGAGCAAAACGCGGCACAAAGCAAACCGGGGGATGGCGGGGAATCCCCGATAGCGTTGGACTTTCTCGATAGGAAACGGAGCCGCGTACCCCCCGCGAAAGTACTCCGGTCTGCTGCGTCCAATAATCACGCCGGGGATAATTCAGTCAGTGCCCTCGTGGCACTTTATCTGAGGGAGATCGAGCGTGGGTGCACGCAGCGATTCGGCTATTCGGGAAATCCGTTCCCCAACGTTTCAAAATGACGATCGACCGCCCCTGAGCAGAAGACTCCGAGATCGTCGAACGTCTTCGAGTCTTCGGACCGTGAAATCGATCGTTCGACGCTTATCCTTCGAGGATGTCGCGATTTATCGAGGATATCCTGCAAATACTCGACCGTTGACGTCTCGTACGATCGCGTATCAACGAGAAATCGGCGCAAGTCACTGCGATACGAGGACGTCGCGACGACTGGCGGACGCAGACTGACTCGAACGCCGTCGTCCCTCGGTTTTCACAGCGCGCCGCGACGTTGAGCGTCCCGACGCCGCTCGTCGAGGGCGCTCACGCTCGTCCGTGCCGTTTCGTTTGCGTGGCTTTCCGCCCCTCGCCTTTTCTTGCGATTCTTCGACGCGCACTCCCCTGTCCGTCGCGATCCACGGAGTCGAGACGTTGACGTTCGGCTCGACGCGTGCCTTCTTTTATGGTGTCTTCGACGAGGGTGAAAAATGCGACAGGGAGGAAAGAACGCGAAAGGAACCTTGGAAAAATGGACAAAGACGAATGCAACAGTTGTGAATCCCCTGGCGCTGGGTGCGCCGACTGGACGCTGATGTCTTTAAATCAAACAGAACAATTTCTCACAATTGTGTTACGCAATCAACAACTCCAACGACTGACAATGAGTCGTTTACAAAACTATAAAAGCCTATTTATTTGGAAAAAAGATACTCTTCGAATAAATAATTTCTAATCAATCTACTATCCTTTTTGTATCTCCTTCCAATCAATTTTCAAACACTCGATGTCAACGTAAGATTATTGCTAATATTAACAAGATTTCTTCAGAAACGTACATCTTCGATATTGAAAAGGTTCGACTATTTTTACTTTTAGAAATTTAGATATTATACAAACCTGTGAAGCCTCTGTTAGACTTGAAATTTCAAAATTAAATGATTGGATCTTGTTGTTTGAAAATACCCTCTCTCATAACGCGACTATCAGAATATCATGAAGACTAGAATAAAATAAAATTATTTTCTTGACAATTTAATACTTTGTAAAAATCTATAGCAACAGAATTGAATGTTACACGACTGTAACAACTTTATTAGTGTTGATACAGCCTTTGTGTACATGCTATACCGCGCGGTGTGGTTTATGGGGTACTCGATGAGGATGAAAGATGCGACAAGAAGGAAAGACGCAAAAGAGGCCTGGAAAAATGAACGAAAACGAACGCAACAGTTGTGCATCTCATAGCGTGGTAAGCATACAGCGTCAAGACGTTAAGAAAAGTTTTGTTTGTATGTTCAACTTCGTCGGACGTCGACGAATACCACTTTAAAATTGCGCCGTAGACAGAGAGTAATGATTTCGAATGTAACTCGAATCCCTCTGACTTTTTACTAAAACGTAACATTTATGTAAATCGTAGACACACAATGACACGAATGTTTAATCGAGCTACAAATTAAAATTCAAAATAATATAAAACTAAAATAATACAAATTTCGGAAAAATTTATTACAAGAAAATGCATTTCACGATTTCCTGATCATGCCTTGACCGTAAATAAAATTTTCTATCAATACTCGTATGTACTCTGAGAGCCAGTTAACACCAATTGTTTTGATCAGATCAATTCCACGTTTTTGATATATAATTCTGCCTGCTGTTGTACGTTTTTGAAAAATTGAATTAAATTGCTGGGAGATGTACATAATAACCAATTTACTCGCGTATGATCGAAAGTTTATGAATTAACTTTAATTTGGCAACTTTTAGCTCTACGTTTATCAAACATTTGAACCACCGAAGTGTTGGAATATTTGAATACAGAAAAGTTCAACAAGTAGTCCCAGCCATATTTCCCACGAGAAAAATACTTGAACTGCTTACAAGTCCTGCCACGACTAACTTGTTGATCACAGATGTCATCCGTTTCATTTTCACCAATGCCGCGCGAACTTTTCTGCTAATGGATCAAACAACATAAAACAATATTTTCTACACGCAATAATTCAACATAATATTAAAATTTTTAAGTCAGACCTCGAAAAATTGGAGTTAAAAAGAAATGAAATGTATTTCGAGTTATAGAAGTTTAACTGTATTAAAACAGATGCACTAATTTTTCAATTTCTATCGCAAAAAAACTAAACAGTAAATATAAATTTAAGTATATATTAAAGAGAACATCTAGTAAGAATACAGAAAATTTATTTGAGATTAAAAGTCAGAGGAGAAACGAATGAAAATAAATTCATTGTAGCATTACAAGTTACGTTGACTAAAACAATGCTGTTTTAACAAAAAACCACTAAATGCTAGGAATTCGTGAAAACGATTCTGTACAAACTGCTGGCAGATAAAAATGCTGCACAACGGAAGTTGCGAAAGTGCATATCCTTTTTCAAAAGGAGAAATCACGACATGAAGAAAATGCGAACGCACTGACACGAAACTGGTACAAAAGTGAGCAGAGGATGAATACAACAGTTCTGAATCTTCCAGAATCTACAAGAACAGCGAGAATTTTCCTTCGTTTTCAGTTTGCTTATATGTATACTGACAATTGCGTCGAAAAGTTTTCCAAAGGGAGAGAACCTCTTCAAATATTGTAATAATAGAAAACATAAAACACGTTGTACGTTCCCCTAAAAATTTGTACGTTCTCCCAATTCATTTATCTAATACGAAACGTGTAATCGATCGATAAACGAAACTGTTCCTACATCTTGTATCATTCCAATATTATTATACATTAATCGATTTACGTAACATTTTTACTTCTAACGATCAATAAGGGTGGAATTTAATTTTGAACTATAGACTATTGCTGATTGGTTTTATTATATAAAAATACCATGAAAATAACCATGGTAGCAACCACGTATCTATGAAACGATCATCAAAATCGTCGAAGGGGATGAGTCGAGTGTCGTTTCAACGCCGCAGTAGTCTTTCAATTCTTTTTTTCTACAAATTCTTTCGCATTTGAATGACGAGGAATCGAATGGGAAACAATAGTTACGTCGATAATGTCAGTGTCAAACGGCGCGCGTGTTCGAGAACGCTGACGTCGCGACGTTCCACCCGTCCTTGGCCGCAACCCCCTGCGGTACAGAGATGAAAGGCAAAGAGGAGAAAAGGGGTGTTCAGTTTTCAGCGGAGCGTATGGAAAAATGAACAAAGCACGGGTGCAACAGTTGTTCATTTTCTACATTTGTGTACAGAGGTTATAGAAGTACTGAAAACATTCGCGTCCAGAGCCCCTTTATGGAGACCGTCATCGTGACAAGTGAGGCTTGCTGTACCTCAAACGTTTTCGTTGCTTCGTCAAAAGGCGAACGATGACGCATAAAATTGATGAACGCGAGCCATAACAAAGTAAAATAAAGGACCAACACATCCATGTTTTTAATTTTGTTCGCGATATTCGAACATCGATAGCCGTAAGACCGTAAGGTGAAATTGCAATGTAAAAGCAAAATTTAATAAATCTTAAATAAAAGAACGGAAATCATTTTAGTTTAATACTAGATCTACCAAACCAATCCACATGGTTGTTTTCGAAATCCTTTAAAAAAATATTCGTCTAATTTTTTGTGACTTTTAATCAAATGTATAAATGTATTTATTTTCTATTTTTCCTTCTTTTCAAATTGCTCACGTTGAAAAACGCTATTCCAGTATTAAGGATGTGTTGCATGACAAAATTCATTGATAAAAAACGATCGAGATTTATAATGGTAAAATCTAACCTTGATGTTCCAATAGCGCGATAAAAGGTTACTGATCGAACGAATTGAATGTTTTAACTCAAGAAAAGAACAGTGGTCTAATTATTTCCCGTTTAAAATAAAGACACGTCGTCGTTGGCCAGGATTTATTTATCGGTTTCGTATCCCAATCTGTGAAATAATAAATTAACGAATAACAAACGCACCTTTATTTACATTTATAATTTTTGTGCCAGCAGAGGTGCATTCGCCGTTAATGAATATCAACAGTCGTTATTAAATATTTATGACGGCATGGTAATGCCACATATTATTTTCGAATCGCATTAACATTCCACTGTATTCTGGAGCGAGTGAAATTTATCGTGATACGAAACGATTTGCAAGTCGCGTTATGTACTTTGCTCTACATTGTGTATATCACAGAATATTATAGAGACGTAGATAGAATATATAGATTACTATACAATCGGACGTGTTTTTGCGTCTTCATACAGCATCGGCTGATCAATACATTACACTGTATCATTCGAACATTATAGTATACTCGCTCACCTAATGGCATAATACTATTACGTTAAATTGTGCAACGACTAATTATTAGTTTCGAACAAGCTATTTTCATTATTTAACTTTCGACGAGATAGTTACGTGTTCTTTGTTTCTGAATATTTTTTCTCAAATTTTAACACCAACATTTTCGATGGTAATAATTTTGTAACACTGACCCGCTTCGTTCGCATTGCGCAGCTGTTCTGGGATTAAACATTTGTCTTCGATACAACGTTGAAATATTTACTTGAATCGTCGTGATGCCGGACGATATTTCTCCTTGCCATGGATAATTGATGAACTCCACATTTATGTTCAAAACTATCGAGCTACTCTTTCCTTGCAGTAAAATCATTACTGTTCATTTCGTTGCAAAATCATAAGACTTTCAAATCACACAAAGTGTGCCCCTTTAGCGTACTCGTTAGCAGTTTTTTTAAACGTCTTTCGACTCGAAATTAATTCTATTTCCCCCCCAATAACCGACTAATAACCGATCAACTATTCTATTCATCGCAGCGTTAGAATGTTCCTTTCGAAAAAGACGGCTGATTTCTTTTTACGATCCATCTGCTCACGATAAACGTTGTACACTGCAGGTCAACTGAACCCGAAACGTGAGATTCGTGTCTATCGTAGCAATTTGTGACGACACCACTGTTGAACACACGTACGACCTCGACGCGTGAATAACCAAAACCCGGATAATCAAGACCTCGGTTAATCGAGGTTCCACTGTATAGTTATACGCCCGGTGCAAAACTAAGCACGACCAATCTGTGACGTCGAACACGACTCGAAGTGTAAATAAACATTAAGTAGCCTTGGCAAACAGCGGATGAAACTTACATTTAATTCAACTATTTCTAAGACGCCTCGGGCAATCCCCAGACTGCTACCAGTTCTTAGAACTAGCTTCACCTTGTCCTGGTAGCATATGTAGTTATAA